TATTGATACCCTTCATTGATAAAAAGTACCATCAGTTATGCAATCGTTATGAAGGAATAAGGGATCAAGTCATTTGAAACATTAAGTTAATGCTACGGATGCTCTTAAAGTTCAAACAGACAACAGTATAACTCGTAAAAACAACGGAAAATCGCCGTACAAAATGAAAACAATCATTTTACTTCTCTATAGAGAAATGACTAAGACATGTATTTTAGAAAATATAAGTTAGCATTGCATGCTCAAACACACCGTCATGCAAAAATGTAATTATCTTAAATAGTTGTGATAAAATTGTGGCAAACATTGTTTATCATCGTTTTATTGACCATGACACATTTAGAGTACTGTGGAACATCCGTTTACAAAGAACAAAAGATAAAAAATTGAAAGATCAAATTAAACGTCTGATATCTGAATTTAAATGCCTACAAAAACAAGTCAATTCCAGACAAATCCAAATCAACTGGCATGTTACATTTATTGAGCCGTGATAGTCAAGTTTTACACAGATCCCTACAAAGTCTGTCTTAAATGAAGTTAAAATGCTATTCGGTCCTCTCTAAAAATGTCCAATATTTGAAGGGTTCATCCTTTCACTGTTCTTCTCTAAATAGTAAGAAAAATATCGACAAGAGCCAGTAGGCAACATCGTTCACCTAAGCAACTATCTAAGTGAAAGCAAATATCAGTTCCATATTGATGTTTATAAATAAAAGATCACTTGGCTAAATTCTCTTCGGTTAGGTACACAATAGACTGTTCAGAAATACTCAAACAAAACCTCAAAACTTAGTACACCAGAATCAGTTGGAGTGACTGAAACACCACTTCACGGCAAAATTTTTAGTTTGCATTAACCAATCAGGTTTGTTAAATTTCATTACAGTGTTGGTAGTTGGGAGGAGCAGTGACAAGCACATTACCCTGAGACAGGCATTGGGGTCAGTCACACACCTTCCAATGATGTCAGAAAAACATAAGAAATGTCAAATAAGAGACTTTTTGTTGCACAGGCTATTCGGAGAGTGAGGTACTTTTGTACTTTGAAAATTGAAATTCCCTTTACACCTTGGCAGAACCTTGATGACATTTCAAAAATTATTAATCTTAGTGAAGTTTACGTGTAAGTTATATTGAAATAAGACCAAACTGAAGGGGTAGTAGGGTTTAAAACAATTTCACAGAAAAGTCTATTTTAAGTAACCACGGCAACATCGATCATCGAATTTACAAACCGATGCATTAAATAAGAATCTGAATTCAGTTGATTTGTGTGCCAAGTTTTATGAAATCAGACCAAAGCTGTAGAAGGAGGAGCGTTTTCAAAAACTGTTTACACAGACGGACAGGCACATTACTATTGCAAAAGCTCTTCTGGTCTACGATCAGTCCCTAACTGTGTACAAACTGCGTCATTTTTGCAAGATGACGTCAAATTGCGAGATGACGTCAAATTGACAAGTGCATTGCGATCGAGGGTGTGGGATTTTACAAACGAGAAATCTGTATATTATAGTAAGATTGTTCACAAGGTGTTACTGTTCTAGGCGTCAAAGTAATTTGGCTGACAAGAAAAGGTTAAAACCTGCCTTGATGAAGGAAGTGCAGAGAAATAAAATCCATCCATCTCAAATTCAAGACATGTTCGTCATTATATAGGTGCTCGCTATCCAAAATCATCATCCTGGGGGTAAAAATGAATTTCATTATAAATAGAAAGTAGAGAATGTAGTTAATGTAAATTTTACATGTACAGTGTATGTATGTCTTTTAAAAAGACAAAAAGGCTATAACAAATAAGTAACACCCAGGCCTAAAGGGAGCACAATGAACTGAAAAATATTTACAAAATCATTCCATAATTTACCGTGTAGCTGTTCATTATTTGATAATATGGGAAAGAGAAGACTACAATATCTGTCCAAATTTTGGTTCAAGAAAAGTACACCACATATCTAAGGATCCAAGTGTCAAAACGATGGAACTAAAACAGCAGAAAAACCTCGACCAGATAGACATAAAAATAAGTTTGCCGACATTCACTAACAATGTCAAGACCATGCAAATTTGTGCTGCAAAGTTTAAAGGTCAGTGGTTTGATGATTTTGAGGCCAAGAGGAAGTGAAGTACGAGCTATGGACAGTCATAATGATGCAGTCCATATTCCTGATATCATCTCTCCAGTGCTCAAGCTGTAGATACCAAAGTCATCAGCAGAAGTTATATGAGTAAGTATAAGCTACCTGACCAGGAAGGAAGGCTTCTTGGTTCAATGTAGTCGTATCCTGAGGACGGTATGGGCACCAGCTTGACCACCGACGGGATGAGAGGAATTCTGCTGATGGCAAATTTCCACCAGCTAGCTCCACGCAAGCTTTTAAGACTCTGCTTATAAAGTGGAGAATTAAGCTAATTGTGTGAAAAGGGATAGTGTGAATAATATATGAAAATTGTAATAAAATGACTCTGAAAGTGGACTTCCTGATAATTCACCAATTCGCACAGAGGGGGATTCCATTCCAGGCAGATATACATGTAACTTCTACTATGTGTGAAAATATTACTAGCGAGGAAAAAGTATTTCAGTGTTTTTTGGCAATATGTCATGTTCATTGTAAGAAGGGAGAATAATTGACAGGAAAGGCCGACAAGTCACCTGTCACGGCACAATGAATGCACTTCAAATCTTTACACAACAGACAAACACTGGTAATGAGAAACGGTGCACGGCTGAATGCATAGAAACTAAACAAGGATGAAACTCCTCTTCCTATAGGGGGAGACAGTGCAGTGTCACAGGGAGCATCTGTAAAACAAGGAAAAACAACCGAAAACCTGAAGGACTGAGGATCTTTTTCGAATCACATAGGAAGGAACCAGAAAAGACCCGCTACGGTGAGCGCATGTTTCCAGGCTGTACCAAAGCAGACATAGTATCAGCTTAAACCATTCGCGCTGGACATATATAACAAGAGGCCCATGGGCCACACCGCTCACCTGAAAAGCTTTCTCCCTTGTAATACGTATTGTGACCCCACCCTACCTCACTGATCATAATCTAGACAATTTGTAATCTACACTTCCCCAGAATGCTTCCACATAAGTTTCAGCTTTTCTGGCCTAGTGGTTCTTGAGATTTTTAAAAAAAAATTTCCAATATATAGCTCAACAAACTTTTTAAGCTCACATGGTTTTTCGCACAAATTAAGGTCACATTGTTGTAATAAATGTTACCATTTTCGAACTGCAGAACAATGGAATAACCCTTCGTTATATAACATATATAATGTCGAGCAAAATTGTCTTATAAAATTATTATCTGAAGTTTCCAAAGTGGATGTTTTTAAGGAAATTTTTTCTAAAAAATGATAGAATGTTACGACTATACGATTCTACCATTGGTTTTTAAAAAAATGCATAAAAAGAGCTTTCCTTCTTCCCAAGAATTTGAATTTTTAAAAAAATTTTCTTCTTTAAAGGTGAGTATTTTATAAAAATCGTTGCTCATTTATAATACTCCTCCTGATTTCGTCGAAATGTAGCGCCGAAAAGGGATATTATTGCAAAAGGAAACCACATTACAGGGTAGGATAACGGAAGTATTGTTTTTTTTTTAATAGTAAATTCTTTCAATGAAAATGATATTTCCTCTGCATTTACGGTCTGAAACGTTAAAATTTTGCAGAGGGATGAATCTTTCATTATTCTAGATTTTATAAGTTGACTTTTACAAATTACACCTTATTACATGTAACATAGAAAGCAATCCAACATGAAAAATACTATAACCAACTCGAGTTAAATAGTCAAAATGTATAGAAGATACAAGTAACAGTAGCTGAACCGTACCCATGTTGACGTTTCTGCTAAGATTTATTGCTTTGAAAAGAATGGATAAAAAAAGACAGTTACAATTGGCAAGAGACTATAAAAATTCTAATGAGAATAGTTGTTACTCTTTAGCCATGAATATATCAATTTCTACCAATTGATTTATGTGAATTATGTTTCAGTAAATGAAACAAAAATCAAACCATATGTATTTAATTTTTTCCATGTTTCCCAGGGATAAAATGAAACTACATACAATAGCACTTTCATCCTCCATGTCTAGATTATCCTTGGAAGTAGTGTCCACAGGGATGGCAATGCTGGCTGGGGCTAAAGTGGAAGAGTCAGGTTCCTGGATGAAAAGCTCTCTAATGAGCTGCTGATCCTCCTCGGTCAGCAGCTCTGGTAGGCAAGATTCCGAAGCGGTCGGCACAGTAACTGCGGTAGGTGATGGAGGAGGTGGCAACGACGAAGATGGCATAGATGACATGCTAATAGGAAGACTCTCAGGTTTTGCTGGCCTACTCCTCGACTCCCATTGGAGGATCGACTCCTCCATCGTCAACGAACGCATTATCTCCTTCAGGACCTTCGAGTTGTTGCGAACTGTCATGAAGTCTCACCCCTCAGCTTCGGCCTTCTCTCTTGCCCTCATCTTATGCTCCAGCTGATACCATTTCGTGTGCTTAAGGAATTAGGTCTTCTGAACAGCTGCGAAGTCACAAAGAGTACAATGGTAGGGATACTCCTCGTACGCAAGGTGCTTGACGAAGATGTGGTGTGTGACGGCTATCTTTTCTCCACGAAATCCGTACGGCTTGCACTCATAAACGTGCCTCCTCTTCCCGGCAGACATTCTTAACAGGGAGGATATTATCTAAAATGTAAGAACCAATAACATATTACTGGTAATTATGTATTGAATAACCCAACAACATAATTGGTAAATCACCAATAACAACTATTGGTACACCCTTATGTAATTATTCAAATATCATCTCCACCTAATAAATCAAGGTCTTCCCCTCCTACACATGGGTTGAGACTTGTTCACAATACAAGTAATTCATTTATTTTTTTTAATCAGGTAAACATTTGTTTATTAAAGAAACAAAAACATCATAACACATATACATCAGCAAATCACAATGCTGCGCTAGTCCAACAGGCACCTAACTAAATTTTCTTTTATTTTTGTACAATGTTCTGGACCCACTTCGGTGGCTGACTTCCACGATACGGCAGTAATTTATTGTGATGCGTTATCAGAATCGCTTTTACTCATCAGGATCACTATCTGAATCAATCCAAGTTTTATCAGAATCATCCATATCAGACTCTGACTCTCCATCATTAAACTCTACGTCTGACTGATGAGGGTGGTCACCTACAGAAGAAGATATAAACAGAGTCATCTTCATTAGATATCAATTTCCAACAACAATTGCCCCAGTTAGCATAGTCAGATATCTCACCTGCATGTGCATCTTCAAGAAGAGACACAATCACTGCATCAACAGAACTGGATCCTTTATCTGACTCTCCACCATTAGACTCTACATCTGATTGAAGAGGTTGTTCGCCTACAGAAGAAGATATAAACAGTCATCTTCCTCATATTCAATTTCCAACATCTATTGCCCCAGTTAGCATAGTCAGATATCTCACCTGCATGTGCATCTTTAAGAAGAGACTCAATCACTGCATCAACAGAACTGAATCCTTTATCTGACTCTCCACAAAAAAGTTTTCACATAAAATTTTGGTGCCTATGGATCATAAATTTTAGGAATAAAGTTTTCTATAAGTATTGTCAAAAGATGTAACACATCAATGTCATGGATATGATAATATTTGCTTTGAAGATTATAAGAAACAGCTTACACAAATGAATTTTTAGTTATATAATATGATTGATGCACGACATGAACTTATATATATAGCAATAGTTCAGTCTCAGATGACCAAATTGCAAAAAAAAAACAACCAAACATTTATTTTAAACGTATGTTTAACATATTACATTCTCCTTTTGCTTTCCATATCTCCATCTTTTCGAGAAACATTTCAACCTGGCTGGTCTTGTATCTATGAAATTTTACAAAAGAGAAACTACCTAAATTTTACAAAACTACCGTTAACGATCTCCGATCCTCAGCCATGTTCGATAACTCTTAATTATCCATTTTTATACGCCCGTCTTAAGACGGGACGTATTATGTTATAGGCTTCATGTCCGTCCGTCCGTCCGTCCGTCTGTCCGTCTGTCCATTCCTGTCCGGCTCATAACTTCAATACTATTAGGCCTAGGATTATCAAACTTTGTCAACTGATACTTCTTGGGTAGACGGTGTGTCGCGCACAAAAAGTAGGTCGGTATACATCTTAGGTAGAAGGGTGTCGCGACCTATTTCAAGGTCACTGTGACCTTTAATTTTAGTGAAATTTTTTAAAAAACTAAGTTTTTTAAATTTTAAATTCCATAATCCTAAAAATGTAAAAAATAGAGTTGTATCTTTATTAAAAAGTATTAGATCAAGTAAACTTATTTTTTTCATCATATACCGGTACTTTACAGCAATCTTAAACAAATTTCAATGTTAATGAGAGGAATTCAGTTTGTCCCATGGGCATAATTATCAAGCACTGGTCAAGAAGAATTTTGATAGCAGAAAGTTGCATGTCAAATTAGAGAGAAATTAATGAGTTTATAGTGAGGAGATAACTAGTAGAGCATTGCTGTTATCTATATCCCTCGGGTATTGGGCAAATGGACAGCCATTTAAAAATAGCTCTTGTTGGCTAGCCTAAGTTTTAAAATGAATAGCCTAAGTTTTAAAATGAATTTGATGAAAAGTAATTAAAACTTATTTGATATTGCATAATAAACTAATAATCTGATATTATATAATATTAATTAACTAAAAACTAATTTTTTGGGGTGGGGTTGAATCAGCATGCCTACTTGTCCATATGTATTAAATATAAAACTTGTCTGGCATTACATCTAAAAAGAAATCATGGAGTATTTTATATGTTTAAAAAGTGTTTTAGGATAAAAAGTGCAGATCCATTAATATTAAGGGAGTAATGAGTAGACAAGCATCCAGTCAAAGATTAATTAATGAGTTCAATGTAGGAAGGCTATCTGATCAAACGCTGTATCTGTATCCTTTGGGGATTAGACAGAAGAACTGCTGGTCAGTTTATAGCATATATCATTTGATGGCCAGCCTTTCTTTTCAAAATTGATTTGGCATAGATCAAGTTGTTAAGACTAATTTGATATTGTTTATTATGATGGCCGGCATTTGACAAAGTCTAACACAAATAGTATAGAAATCTATCATTTATGTAATATTTGTTATAATTATGCCTACAGCACAGGGGATGGATATTAAAAGGAATATTTTTTTTTAAAAATGGAAAAATCATTGAAATCTTAGAATCAAGGTTGACATGATTTTCTTGCACTCTAAACTGTTAAAGATAATTGTGTAATTTTTTGACGGGCGTATCATGCTGTGGCGTGGCACTTTATTTTTAAAATTTGTACCATAAATCTGTCTTTTATATAGAAAAATTTAGTCCTCTAGTGTAAGTATTACATCAGTCATTCAACGAAATGCTTGGCTTAGTGAATCAATGGAGATCTACTAAATATAGGTAAAGGGGTTCGAGCCACCGATGTACTGGTACAACCTTTTTTCCCCGTCAAATTGTATTTTTATTTCATTATATCCATCATGGGCAAGGTTGCAATAACTTTGTAAAATGCATGGATACCACCTAAACATTGCTTTTAATTTCATTTATAAAGTTTGAAGAATAAATAACATTTTTAAGATGAAATACATATACTTTGAGGCTGAGGATTAGAGAACCTTAAAAGGAAGCTGAAATATTGTCTTGTTATAAAAAAAAAATTCCAAAAATGTTATTTAGTTATTTAATGCAAATCCTTATTTGAATATATTTAATGCTTTATCATTCTGACACTTGTTTTACACCAACTATGATTTAAGAAAGATGAACAATATTCATAAATTCTTTTACAATAAAAACATTATATAAATTAACTTACATTACAGTATCTGCCTTACAATACACATGATATTCTTCATGATCATCTGAAATATCCATATTTTCTATTTTTACGGGCCACAGGTAGGAACGGCAGTTTTGCCCAAACAAATTGTTTTGATTAACTTCTTTTTTTTTGCAGTTCCAGTACATGTATCTCCTAATGCTGGTTTCCTTTTCCTCCTTACCATTGCAACCTATAAAACCAAAAGCATAGTTTTTTTTAATTTTCAAACAAAACAATGAAACAACCAATCTATGTGTTTATCTTGGGTAAAATGTACTAACTACTTCTCTTGATCTCCTCTCTCTGATTTATTGTAATAAATTGCATATTATATTTTTTAAATTTTTATTTGAATTTTTAATGAGAAGGATTCTTTCACATTCTATTTTAACAAATAGTCAACATGTCAAATTTTTAATGACTCATACATACAAATGTACCTGTTGTGGTTGCAGTTTTAGTGACAATATTTAAAGCAAACCACAGATGGATATTAATTTTCAATGCAAAAAAAATGTATGTCTACTGCATTAGTCTTTCATTCTCTGATGTTTCGGAGGTCCGTGTTTGCTCTGCTCTTATTTTGTATATTTGTTTAATGGACGTTGAGATTGAATACTGTTCGTTATTTTTATATCCTTCTTACAAAGATTTAAAGTATTGCTGCACAAATATCGACACTGAAATTGTTTAGTTACCATTAGTACAGTTTTAAGTTGAAATAGGGTAAAAATGTACAGTCTAATTTAAGTTTAGTAAAATTTTATCGATGGAAGAAGAGCATAGGATTTATGCAGCAATTTAAATAATTTTAGGAATATTCTCCTCAATATTATACTTTATTTATTTTAAATTGAATAGGATATGCCCTCGCGCCGACGTTGTTTTTTTTATGTGCTCTATTACCTTGAATGGAAAAGACCTTTTTTGTACTCATTTGTAGTAGAACTTAGCAGAAACGTGATGACTTCCTTATATCTTTTCTTCCCTCAAAATCCCCTCTTTATGCACAGGCACCTGAAGTATGGAAAATACCCCCCTCCTATAATATGACGTCATAATGTGTACTTGCATGTATATACTGTGGGTACTATGTATGTATAAGAAAATATATTTGAACTTTCTCAATATTTATACACTGAATTGACCACGGATTTTTTCCGTTATTTCCTGATTATGACAACGAGCACACGGCGGGTGTGACCGGTCGGCAGGGGATGCTCACTCCTCCATGGCACCTGATCCCACCTCTGATGTTTCGGAGGTCCGTGTTTGCTCTGCTCTTACTTTGTATATTTGTTTAATGGACGTTGAGAATGAATTCTGTTCGTTATTTCCATATCCAAGAATAAAAAATTCTGTTCCATTTTCTGACAGTTCTTAACATCATTGCAATGAAAATCATCACAAACAATATCATACTCAACAATGCAACCTCAGACCAAAGAAATTTTTTTATGTCCACCATCTCTGGCAACATGCTCTCAATGAGGAATGAATCATTCTTTTCAATACATTACTATTAAGAAAAAAAATGTGCAGCTTATTCAAACATTTTTAGGATTAAGATTTAATAGCAGTCCGTTGATTAATGTGGCAGGGAAAACTTAGAACAAAATTCAAGGGAGACTTTAATTCTCCCTCACAGAAAAATAGGAATTTAACTGAAAATAGTAAGATTCAATAATGTAATTAAAAAAAAAATTCCACATTTTATAATACATTCAACACAATTACAAAATTCTGAGTTACCAACCTCACTGTAATTTATATACATTTGGTTCACAGTATGTTGAGATATTGTATCACCTGCATTTATAACCTCATATGGTTAATGAAACTAATTTAAATGACATGATTGACAATCTTATGAGGTTTTACATACCTTAAATTCTTTTTGGCCAGATGGAGAAATACACCAGAGCAATTATGAAGAATATCAGATCAATTACAAAAGAAACTCCCAAAATTAAATGTACACCAAACTGACTTAATTTTGAATTGCTATTTAAAAACAAGATGCGCAAGGGCCTTATAGGTCACCTGAGCATAATGCAACACATTTCCAGTTACATTGTATTGAATTTGATTAATGTTTTAAGCCAGATGTCATATGGCATTCACAATTTTGAAAGAGGCCCATTGATCATCATAACATCATAACAATACACGTAACAGTTGCTTAGCTTGGTTACTGAGTACCCATACGCAGGGTAGGGGAACAAAAATGCACTCCAACTAATCAGTAATATTCAGCAATAATCAGGAGTGCCCCTTACACTGTGACATAAACCCCTAACCCTAGGTCCAAACATTGCACAATTTTTTTTTAAAGGCACCAATAAAATTGCCTTTCAAAAAATGAATAAATGTTTTATAAATACTAAGGAGCAGATTTCAAACAATTAATTCATTTACAGTATATAAGTAGAGCCCCCCCACCCCTGACCCTGGGGCCTTGAAATCCACAATTCTGCAAGATAAGGGCCCTTGCTCATCGTAACTATATAGGTAGTTCATCTGCTTCATACCTAGAGACAGAGAAGAAAATTTTCAAAGATTTGATGTATTTTCACTATATAATCAAGAGCCCCACCCTAACACCAGACCCTGGGCCATAAAATTCCTAATTTTTTATAAGAGGCACTCTTGCTTATCATAACTATGTACTTAGTTACTTTATTTAATTCCTAGGAGCAGAAAGAAGATTTTCAAAGAATTCATGTATTTATACTATATAATCAATAGAGTCCCGCCCTAACACCAGAACCCCTGTCCCTGGGACCAAAAAATTCACAATTTTGGTTGAGGCACTCTTGCTAATCATAACTATGTACTTAGTTGGTTTATTTTATACCTAAGAGCAGAGAAGAAAGAGTTAATGTATTTTCACTATATACTTATTTAGCCCCTTCCTAGCACTAGAATCCCTGACCCCAGGGCCATGAATTTCACAATTTT